AATATAAAAATGAAACTGATTTAAATATAATCAGTAACGACTGTTCAATTTATCAAGGTTTGTAAACAAATCATTTTTATTTTTTAACTTAAAATTGTTTTAAAAATAGTTTTTTTGCAATGTAGTTTAATTAATTTATGCAATTTTTAATGCAATGTGATAATTCACAAATTTTTGTGTTTTTAGTTATAAAATTTTTTAATTTATTCATCAAAAATTGTTTATTAAAACAACAAAAATTAAAATCAAGTTATTGTGCGCACATGTTTTTCAGTTATACAAAATAATGTGTGCAGTAATTGTATTTTTGTTAAATTAATAAATATTAATTGATGAATTGTCAGAGTAAACTTGCAGTGCTATTGTTTATCAATCTGACAATGCTGCACTTGAGCAGATCACCAAATTTTCTTCTATGTATCGTTTTCTATTATACAACAATGTACCATCCTTTGCAGTATGAATTCTCTTGACTTTGTGTCCTTGTTGGCCACTTCAGTTTCATCTGGCTCATTTTTGCATTTGGCACTAGTTTTGCTCGCTATCGGCAATCAGTGGCGCACTACACTAGTCTTTTTGATGCTATCAACGACCACTTATAGCACGTTATTAACGGTTGCATCTACCCCTCTGCTCTTTGTCCAATCAGTCCAATAGGCTTTCTCACTGTGCGTTTATCTATTTGCTAAAATGGTTGCACTATATCCTCGTTTAATTAATTTCCGGCCTAAAGCTCAACCAGGACAAACTACTGCTGGCTGAAAGTGAAGAAAAGTCTGTGCTCAAACACGATAAGCGTCTAAATGGTGGCAGCAAATTTTTCGTTGAATTACATTTTTTGCACAACAAATCTCAAGTCAATCAACATAGACTAAAAATGTGTTTTCAAAAATGTGCACACAAAGCTTGTTTTTTAAAAAAAATTTACAACAACTATTTAAAATTAAGAAACTTTCATTTCAATCTTTTGATCGTTTTAGACTTGCAATATCAATAAATTGTGCGTCAAACCAAATGGCAAAGTGGAATCGATGCCATTGCTATTTCCTGTCTTTTGGCCGTTTGAGTGCGGATTAGTTGCTGAATGTGCTAGACTAAAAACAAAAAATAAAAGATGTCCCGTGCATTCGGCAAATTGCTGCCGAGGTTTTTATTCTAGATGGACAGTAAGATTTGCGATATGGGCAAATGAATAAACGAAAACTGATAAAACAAACAACAAAACTACTAAAATGGTTTAAAAGTGTCAAGAAGTAAATTGGAATTGCCTTTTTGACTGCAACAGTAGGCCGCATCTATTTGTAATTTATTGAACATTTTTGCCAACGACGTGCAGGATTCTTTGCCGGTCCTGAAAGCAAAAATGCAATTTAAAATTATATTAAAAGCTTAAATATGAAATAATAGATGCAAATAAGAAAAATTATAGCATTCGAATGCTACCACATTTCGAAAAGTAAAACCATATAAAATTTTAGTTAACTCAAACAAAAATTTACATAAAAAACAACCTTTTTGTAAAAACGTAAAAGCATTTTTAAGTTTTTAAATATTATGAAATTGCCAAAAACTTGCTCAACAACAAAATGCAATTTTTTAAATTGCTAAACTCATGCAAATAAACATACTCAGTCAGCGTTTAATTAACATCCACCAATTGCCGTTTCAATTAAATTTGCCAGAACAACTTTGCATAAATAACTGACTTTTAGATGTTCTAACATCTGCAATTCTAGTTCTCTATCTAAACTGAGGATTCGTTAAAAATATGATTAAACTCTAGACAAAGCAGACAAAGCTGGTTTAGTGCTCTAAAGCAGACTTTTTGTTTGTCAGGCATTTGCTCGATGTTTCCCACAACCTCAATAGTTAGAGCAGTCACAGGCACGGCACAGTTTTTGTGTAAGCTTAGTATTTTCTTTCTATTTATGGAACGAATGCTAACAAATCAGTGTATTTATGATTGACCTTTGACAAAATCACTTACTAATGCAGACAGCACAAGACAAAATTTACCGATTAGCAGATTAATAGACGCCAATTCAAAAAAGAATAGAAAACATTACTGTCACTGCTGCAAAAAGTTCAATCTGCTGTGAGCACTGCTAATTAGCATTATAATGCTGTTGACGAGCGGCAAATATTGAAAAACAGTCAACAAGATTAATACAAAACAAAATGACAATTCAGCATTAAACATTAACCAAACTTTAAATTATTATATTCACTTGACTGAAATTGTTGGCAAATAATTTTTAAACTGCATTAATTTTTAAATACGAACAAAGCTAAAACCGCCAGTAAACGTAGAAACATTATTAATATGCAAACCAAATATGCATCTTCAGCGGTAAACCATTAAACTAAGTTTAGGTCGATTGTGTATGTCCATTTACCAATTGAAAAGACGATTTGTTTTTGCAGATGGGAAACAGCCATTNCGCTAAAACCGCCAGTAAACGTAGAAACATTATTAATATGCAACCCAAATATGCATCTTCAGCGGTAAGCCATTAAACTAAGTTTAGGGTCGATTGTGTATGTCTATTTACCAATTGAAAAGACGATTTGTTTTTGCAGATGGGAAACAGCCATTTCTAATGTGCTCTCAAAAACTGCAAATGTTATTGTTATTGTTGTGGTTGTGGTTGTTGTGCACACGTACAGCACACACACCAACTGTTGTTTTAGCAGTCATTTTACAGCAGTACAACCCCACTATTACCGCATTAAGTGCATTACGCGTTTGCCGACCTAGTGTGAGCTCGTCATGGTGCAATTGGAAACGGGTGCTAATTAAGCGGTCTTTTTTAGCATTGCTAGAACAAAAAAGCTGCTGTTGCCGCTGATGATGACTCAATAAAGGGCGTCTTAATAAATAGTGGCCATTCAAAGGAGAGAGAGAGAGAANCAACTGTTGTTTTAGCAGTCATTTTACAGCAGTACAACCCCACTATTACCGCATTAAGTGCATTACGCGTTTGCCGACCTAGTGTGAGCTCGTCATGGTGCAATTGGAAACGGGTGCTAATTAAGCGGTCTTTTTTAGCATTGCTAGAACAAAAAAGCTGCTGTTGCCGCTGATGATGACTCAATAAAGGGCGTCTTAATAAATAGTGGCCATTCAAAGGAGAGAGAGAGAGAGAAAGGTGCACACAGGTGAGATGCCGCAGCAGTTTGGTTGGCTACTTATGCAGCTCAATTCAAACACATCATACTCTCACACGTCGATGAGCCTAATTGTGCTTGCCTGCCTGTAGTGATGGTCGTTTGTGAAATATGTTTGCTGCATTCTAATGCAAATTACGTCTGCAGGTCTGTAGAGGTCTGTCTGCTGAGAGAGGTTACGACGAACAGCTTTACGCCAAAAAGGGCCCGTTCTCTGAGGTGTGCGTGAAAGCTGATCAGTAAACAGCAAACAGAGGCATCAATTTGTTTTTCTGATTGTGTGTTTATGTGTTAAACTGATGGCTAGTCTAAAGAAAAACATTGCAGTCGGCATTGTTGACGTTGGAATATCAGGACAGACAAAAGGTGCAAAGTTAAGCAACACGTTTAGCGCTAAATTAAAATTAATTTAACCTTTCCACTGTGCACCTTGTCTTATCATTTTTTTGTCATTCCTTTGTTCAAAAAAAGTGGATAATGATTTAAACTATTCAGTTAAATTTTTTGTGTTTTTACAAGGACGTGTTGGCTATTGTGTATTGATTTATTGTTTAACAGGTGAATACTAAATGCAAATGATTAAAAATGGCCGGCGTATGTAAAACTAGTTTTCAATACTTGAATAGTGACAACCATTTAAAATTTTTTAAGGTACTTGAAAAAGAAATAAGTTTCAAGTTAGAGTTAGATGTACACCTAAATTCAAAATGAGTTTTATTGTTTTTAACAAAAACGTAGGCTCCATCTGTTGAGCGCAAATGCAACATTGTGTGGCATTGGCAATGTTTTTGTTGTGGTGGTGTTTTGGCAGTGAAAAAACAGGTTGAAGGTCTTTTCTTGCCGTACATGTACACTTGGCAGAAATTGCAGTGTGCAGCCAATCAGCGCTACGCGCTTTATCATCATTTGCATCTACCTTTTCTGCATTTTTACCGGGATTTCGCAACCTTTACATCCTCTGAGTATTACGAACATTTTCTGGCAGGAATCAGTACATCATGCCTGTACTATTCTTGTGTCCATATAATAAAGGACAAGAGTCGCTGCACCGCCAAAACTAGTGCACCAAAACTTGTGATTGTTCCCGTCGGTGTTGTTTACTGTAAGTACAGCATCTTTTTTCTAGTCGCAGGCACATTGCAATGTACTCGCTTGTGTTTTGCACTATTGCTGCAAACTGTAAGCACACACACACACAGTATACGACAGTCTAAAGTTAAACTTGCTTGCCAAAGGTACAAAGGGCTGCGTGTAATTAACTTGAACTGGCATTTGCAATTGAAAATGAAAGTTTGCAGCAGCATCACCCTACACGCTTTTTATCAACGTCGATATAATCAGCCGCTGCAGATCACTGCAAAAGCTGCAGTGTTCACCACGAGTGTACAGTGAACAGTTGACATTTGCCGTCGCAGCAGCAGCACTAGTCAGATGTGTTTTGCACTATCAATCATCACACACTGGTGATATGTCGTTGAATGTTGGGCAGTTTGCACTTTGCACGCGTGCCATCAGCAGCAGCAGCAGCAGCAGTTCTTGATCGCCACTTTATTGTCGCTGTAATCATCTTCTGCCTCGCTGTGCACATCGCAAATAAAACCCAGTAAAGAGCATTTCACTGTCAGTGCCATTGCCGTCTCTTCACATCACTCAGTGACACTTTTGTCTTTCTGACAGTTGTCATTCATTTTACTGTTTTCTAAGTTAGTAGTACCAACTCAGTAAATGTGTTAACTAATGTTCACTGTTGTTTGTTTTTTGTTTTTCTAGGTGATCAAGCAACAAAGGAAAACTCAAGATGCAGCTCATTCACCCGCTCTCTTTCATTTCAGCTTTACCGCGCTCCCTACGAGGGATCAGCGTAAAATCGTTATCACATTCCAATAGCCGATCATTAGGGACTGGTACCCTGGAGTCAACTAAAAGGACACTTTCTGCCAAAGCCACAAGCTACAATAAGAAGATTACTTTAGCAAATGCACTCTCACTTACACGGGCTTTGTCAAATAGCAGCACCATTGACGCTGCACCACTGCATCTGCCCGAGTTTAAACATCAAACAACAGATGCACTCAACTTGAAGTTTGAGAAACTAAAAGAACTTTCCTACTTTGTCGTACAACGTTCTCCAACACGTCACTTTAGTCAGGTTTGCCTTTTCACTAAATTAGTGCTCTTGAGCTTATCTTCTCTTTTCCCCTTCTCTACAGAAACAATTTGACCGTGCTCAGGAGCTCTGTGATATGTACTACAAGTGTGATCCGGAGACGCGCTTTCAGTATCTCATTTTCCTCGCCGACGACTTTGCCACCAGTCTGCAGTTTGCCAGCTCTTCGGCGAAGTCCTTTCTGGCCACTCAGAACCGCCAAGAACCGTTCGATGCATCGCTACTAGTCGACCGACTGCGCAATCAAATCCGTCCTCGCTATCTGGAGCTCTTTCGGCACATCTCCCGACTGGACAATGGCGTCAAGTTTTTGGTTGACCTTCGCGGCGACCTGATCACCGTGCTCGGCAACTCTCAGCTGCTCAGCTCTCAACACCCCAGTGCCAAGGTCTGCCTTCGTCTGATGTCCGGCGAGCTGTCTGATCTGCTGTCGCTGTGGTTCTCCGCCGGTTTTCTCCGCCTCGAAAGAGTCACCTGGGACTCGCCGACTTCGATTTTGCAAAAGGTATTTTAATTTTTGCCAATGTTTTTGCGTTTAACACTTTTCATAATCAACATCATCTTTTACATAGATCTCCGAGTATGAAGCAGTTCACCCTGTTCGCAATTGGATTGACCTGAAAAATCGCGTTGGCCTGTACCGACGGTGCTACATGTTTTCACACTCCTGCTTACCTGGTGAACCGTTGGTCATACTGCATGTTGCCCTAGTGCCAGACATATCCTCTTCTATTCAGGTACATATTTGTGTCCACAATGTTTACCAAACAACAGCTGTAAAATACTGACTACTTTTAATTAGGAAATCATTCTCAAAACGTCTCATTCCCCATTTTCTCAACGATCATTAACTGCGTCTGATGAACCCACCACACCAACTGCCTCAAAACTGTTCAATCCATCGTCTTTTTCCCGCTTCAACACTGCGTCCTTTGAAGATCCTAATCGCATCGACGCTGCCGTCTTCTACTCAATCTCATCCACTCAAAAGGGCCTAAACGGCATCGACCTAGGTCACGCAATGATCCAACAAGTCGCCGGCGCTCTTCGAACTGACTTTGAGAAGATGAGCCAATTCTCCTCCCTCTCACCTATTCCCAACTTCACCGAGTACCTCCTGACGACTATTCAGTCAATTCAGCGCAAAGATGAATCCAAGAACTACCAATCTCTGTGGCAAAACAATGCCAGTTTTAGTCGCCTGCAAACATATGTGGAGGGCAACAACAAATACGCGGCTGCAAATGAGCCAAGTGAGGGCGTTTTCTGGCAACGTATGATACAAATTCTCAGGTCTGGTGACTGGTTTCGTGATGAAACACTGGTAGAGTTGCTGGAGCAGCCGCTGATGCGAGTTTGCGCACACTACCTGCACAATGAGAAACGACGCGGTTATGCACTTAATTCTGTCGGTACGATTATAAATTGATTTTTAATGTGAACATTTACTACTTAATATTACTCGATTGTTTTCCTGCAGCCAATTTCCACTTAAAAAACGGAGCTGTGATGTGGCGATTGAACTGGCTGGCTGACATTAGCTCGCGCGGAATTTCCAACTCATGTGGCATGATGATCAATTACAGGTACTTTTACTTTTAATGGCAAAATTGTGTTTTTAACAATTATCTTTGCAGATATTTTCTTGAAAACACTGAAGATAACAGCCAAACTTATCTTAATGAAAAGCACATTGTGGCAGGAGAGCAGTTTTTGAAGTGGCTTCAGTGATTGGGCTGTTATGCATACTTTATTTTCATTAAACAATATAAGCTTTATCTAAAGTTGTCAATTTGTAATGTTTAAAGAAAAATTTTATTGCAAGTTACTAATCAAATAAGAATTTAATTTGATTGTGTACCATTCAAACGTTTGTTACATCGACTATGCTGCATAGTCTATGCATCAATCGCAAAAAAGTTAATTTGATTTTGTGTCACTGACTTGCTTTGCATCACTACTATTTGCTCTTTCTAACACCAGATGGCGTATTTGCTGCCTACATCTAAGTGAAATTAATGGGCCATTGGTGACGATAAAGCAGGGGATTGGCTATTGACTGTTGCTGCTGCCCTCTCTGAAGAAGTCTCACTCTGATGACGGTACTGTCCGACAAACTGATTCACAGCGGCGGCAGTGGCTGAATCACTGAAGGGAATCCTCGAGGAAAGACGATCACTGCTGTCGTGGTTGAGGTGATTTTGATTGGCAAAGGACTGCTGCTGCTGCTGGCCACCCCAAACATTTTTCGAGTTGGACAGCAAACTCAGCGGTAGTCACCTCCAAATCCATCTCCGGCCACGTGAAGCACTTTGCCGAGTACCTCGGGAAGCGGCCCATGTACGCGCTGATCGACCAACTCGACGCCGGGGACCTCGACTCTGTAGAACCTCCAGCCCAAGTGTACCCAAACAGCGCCGTCAAGTGCTGCGCCCTGACGGTCGGGCCCGAGGATTCTCCTGAATCCTCCTCTTCTGACTGCAAGGCCAGCTACCTGCTGCGCGCCAACAACTGGGTCCGCTACTGCGAGGCGAATCGCCTGGTGCTGGCCAGGCAGAAGGCGACGGCCCAGCTGGGCCAGCACTTGAAGCCGGTGAAGAGCGACTCGATTCGCTCCTTCGTGGACGCCTCCAGCCTGGTGGGCGCGGGGAGCACCGTCGGCGAACGCTGCTCCATCAAGCGGACGGTGGTGGGCGCCAGCTGCCGAGTCTGGGACCGCGTCCGGCTCACCAACTGCATCCTCCAGGAGGGCGTCACCGTGGAGGAGGGGGCGGTGCTGCAGGGCGCCCTCCTCTGCGCCGGCGCCTCGGTGGGCGTCAATGCGGAGATTCGCGACTGCATCGTCGGCCACGGGCAGGCGGTGCACGGCCTGGCGAAGCACACCAACGAGTCGCTCACCGAGGTGATGCTCGATCTGTAAGAAAGTGAGGTGGTGGGAGTTTTATGGTAATTTAATTGTTTTAGGATGGTGATGGAGATGAGGCGGCGGCAGTAGTGGTGGGCAGATGTGCTGCTAATGACAAAATGTTGTCGGGTTTTTATTTTTTCTTCAATCTGGCATTTCCCTTGTTGGATTTGTGTACAAATTATTAATTTTTTTATTATCAATCAAATAATACCAAAAAAATTTTTTTTTTAATTTTTTTAAAGTAACATTCAAAAGTAATATGTTGTCTGAGCAATCTATTATCGCCTTTTTGGTTGCTACGTTTTCCGACGTTGTGTAAAACAGCACTTTTGGAAATTATCTTTTTAAAAACTACCTATTTCAAATACAGCTGTAAATTGTGTTGTTCATAGTAATAATAAAGTTACACCCAATATTTTTTTTGCTTTGATAAATAATACATCATTTCTTTTTTATGTAAGCATGTTAATTTTGTTGCCATTTTGAAAAAGCAGATTTTAACTTTGTTTGTTGCTCAATGGAAGATAGCTTTATTGAAAACTTTGAATTGGTAAGTGTAAATAAACAAATATATTGTTTTTTAATAAGCACAATTTGGTGTTAGTTGTTGACTAACGATCCAGCTTTAATTGAAAAGCTTAATGATATTAAAACCATTTTAAAAATTCTTTCTTCTGGAAAATTAAAAAACAATACTATTTGGCAAGTGATGCACGACTGGATAAATGTAGACATAAGTAANATTGAAAAGCTTAATGATATTAAAACCATTTTAAAAATTCTTTCTTCTGGAAAATTAAAAAACAATACTATTTGGCAAGTGATGCACGACTGGATAAATGTAGACATAAGTAACCGACTAACGTATTTTAAACAAATGTTTAAAACATGTCTCCAGTGTGACTGTTTTCTATTGCAGTTTGTTGAAAATAACATTTTTCATAGTGATATATTCAAATTGCTTCCACTTGAATTTCAAAATGAACTGAAAGAGTTTGCAAAAAAAACGTTGCAACAATCTTTAAAACAACATCATTCTGGATTGTTTCATGAAAAAGGTCTTATGGAACAAACTAATTTGTTGAACACAAAAATAGCAAATGATTTGTTTCTACAATTACCAAACGTTGAAATTGTTTTTCCACCTGTCACTGTTACTGATTTAGTAAAGAAAGAGGCAAAACAGTTACTTGTTTCCGTTAACGAGCATGGCACAGTTGAATTTTACGACTCCCAGCACAAACGGTGGCTTGCATCTTCAGCAAGTTTAGAATTACCAGTTAAACAATATGAGTACAAACTAGCCCTAGTGGGAAATGTGCTGTACGCATATGGAGGAAAAAAATATATAAGTTATAATCATAAAACATATAAAGACAATGCCAGCAATCGGGTGTGGAGTCGTGACCTGAGTGATTCCTCGTCTCAATGGACAGCCAGAGCAGACATGAACCAAGGAAGAAGTGCTTTTACTACTGCTGTTCTCAACAATTCTATCTACGTTTTCAGTGGTTGGGGCAAACGCGTTTCTCTTCTTGGCACTTGTGAACGGTTTGACAGTCAACTGAACCAGTGGTCGATGGTAGCAAAGATGACCATTGGCCGTTGGGATGCCTCTGCTGCAGTTCTCAATGGCTGCATCTACATTGCTGGCGGACTGAAAAAGAAAGGATATGAGCGGTCAGTTAAAAAGTACGACCCTTTGTCTAACAAATGGAGTCATGTGGCACCAATGACCACTGCTCGAGCTCATTTTG